AGAGCTAGAAGAAAGACCACATTTCTGCGCAAGGATCCGTTTGGCATACTCCCTAGGGTTCGACCACTTAAGAGCTTCCAAAGGATACTCAGGAGTTAAGATATGAGCTGGAGTTTTCTTCACCACAGGTGAAATCTGTTGAAGTTCAGGACCTTCTTAGTTTTCTTCTTCCTCTTCTTCTTCATCTTCCTCTTCCTCTTGTTCTTCATACTCTCCCTCTTCTTCTTCCTTGTCTTCTTCTTCTGCTTCTTCAACTCTAATTGCCTCACCTCTATCACTAGTGGATGGATGGTCATCTTGGTTATGAATGGGTTCAGGGTGTAGTTCCCTTGGTTCTTCATGAACAACTTGATTTAGATCGGCATTGGTTGGCTAGTCTGTAAGAATGCTTGCTTGTTCGACAACCACCTTATCAGTAACCATGGGTTCAGCCTGATTGAGAGGTGGGGGACTTGAAGCATCGTCATCCCCAGAATTGGAGCCATCAGCTTGAGCATGTTGTGTAGTGGTTTGAACCAAATGAGGAATGTTTCCTGTGGAAGGAAAAACATGTTGATTTACCTCATTCAAACCAAAGCCAACATCAAAAGAAGGGTGATAAGTTGGCTCACCTTGGCTGTTGAGAAGGGTGGTGGCAGAATTTCCTGAAGCTGGTGGAGGGTTGGAGATGTTTGTGTCAGCCTGATAACACAAGTAAAGGAAATAAGGCTAAGAAGGTAATTAAAAGACGTACACATAACAAAATTTTAGTGCGCATACCTGAGCAAGTGCAACACCAGGACTTGAATTGTCACCCCCATGGTCACCAGAAGTTGGTTTCGAAGTCACCATGGAAGGTTGTCTTTCGACACCATTCGTAGTAGGTGTCGTCACCAGGACTTCCCATGAGGATTGGGAAATGGCCTCTTGAACCGCACAAGGCCATATTTTCTTTCAGCAAAGGATGCCATACTAGGAGGGAACTGATGGCGCTTGGAAAACATCATGATATAACTGGTGAATGCTCCTCTAAGAGTTTCGCCATCATTGTTGAGAGTCAACTGGACCAGACAGGGTCCTTCGATGCTCCTCCCTATGGTCTCAACAGAGGTTTCATCAACTAGCCCTTTTCTGGGAAGGCTAGCTTCAAAGGTTGCGTTAAGCCATAGCTGAAGCAGCCAAAGAGGACCACTCAAATGTACAGAGTCGTGGGCCTCCATATGCTTCAGTCTAGAAGCTCCTTCACTGAGAGACTCATAGAGGTTCGCCAAAACTAGTTCACTCAAGCAGAACCCTTTGTTGTGATAAAGCTGGTTAGCAAGAGGCAAGTACTTTTTAGCTACTTGCAAGGATTTGGTGCAAAACACGTATCTCGACAGCCATATGGCAAGAAACGCTATATGTTCTTCGTCAGAGACACCTTCATGGGTTTGATCAAAGTGTTGTTTGATGAAATGGGTATAAGTAAGTTTGGAGTTGGAGATATTTATATGGTCTTCAGCGTCTACGTCAGGTTGGTAAGAGACGCCATCTGGGCGAAACCCTGTAATGGCGACTATGTCGAAAAGGGTCGGCGTAACCATCCCACATGGCATATGGAAGGTGTAGTGAGTGATATCCCAAAAGTATAAAGAAGCTGCCAGCAAGTTCAGACAGCATGGTATGTTCGTCTTCGACAGCATCAAGAGGTCATAGATCCCTATGGATTTCCAATGATCAGCTTTAACCTTCTCCATTTTCGCCATCCAAAGATCAAATTCCTTAAGGGGACTGACGACTCTCACTAGCCTAGTACCATCAATTAGATACTTCAAGTCAATCTTAGGCAATGAGGGTTCTTCAGTAGCAGTATTGGTTAGTCTGGAAAAGCTTTTTTGCCATAACGGCCTGGATCTCCAGTAAGAGGGTAGAAACTCACTTAGCCTCTCGTCAGAAGTTCCAACCTGAGCTAAAGGATCAGAAAGTGCGTGGGGTTTATCTGAAACAATTAAAGCAATCATTACCTGAGATTGGTAGATGCTATGTGCCGCTTCAATGGTAAGTTCTGGTACACAATGGCAATTTTCCACTAGTTGAGGGCCAGGAATATTGGCAAAGGGAGGAATGGTTTGGTTGAACTGAGTAACTCCTGGGTTTTCTTTTCATGAACATTGGATTGGGAAGACGCCATTGCTGAAGGAGGTAAAAGGAAATGGTGTAGTTTCTGAGTTTGATGAAGAAAACTGAAGAAAAGAGACAGGATACTTGAGATTCTGAGAAGTGTAAAAAGTTCACAAAATGGTGAAGGGAGATACTTATAGGCGTTTAGGAATCCTAAAGGCTTGAATCTATCGTTGAAGTCAATCAGATAGTGGGACGCGTGTTTGTTTTTTAGAAATGATGAGTGTTGACAGTTATGGTCTGACTGCAAAACATACGTTTTCAAGACAAAGTAATGATAAATACGGCTGAAAAGACGTTTAAGGATTTATCATGATGGCATGATGTCATAAGTGTGGGATAAAAGAAAGTGAACAGTTAGCCACTAAATAAGTAGTTGATTGTTCAGTCAAGGCCATGCAAATTCACACGCGTCGAAACGGTTAAAAAAAATGACCTTCCTACCAAGGCTGGTGAAAGGACATTTCTTGGGGGCAATTTGTTAGCTCTCATTTTCGACGCCAGAAAAATAAGAATTATCTTGAGTCAGAATGTTATTTTAAAAACATAAGGAGGTTTCGACACAACTTTGAGGAAATATGAGTCGAAGAAAGATTGATAAAATTTCTAGAAAAATGCTAACTGTTGGAGAAGCTTTCGACCAAGAGCGTGCTGGAAGGAACACAGGGCAGTTACCATGAAGGCTGGAGGGAATTCTTAGTGTCTAATTTTCAAATTGATAGTGGGCGAACGTGGGAGCAATTGAAGTTGGAAAAAGCGCCAAAAGGACAAGTTGTGAAGCCATAACCGTCATTTAGTAGTTATTTGCTAGCATTATAAATAGTTGTTATTTTTATGGAATGAGGGTGTTCATTCATCTTGTATTAGTCACTCCAAATCACTCAAAGTACCCGCGTGTAGATAAATGAGTTAGCGAGAATGTACGTGATACAACAACAACTCCTTTTCATTAATGCAATTTACTTGTCTTTATTACCATTTACATGCTGTTACTTATTCTGCATTTTAACCTTCAGCTTTTACGTTTAAATTGCTTTTTTCAAGCTTTTCTGCAACTTTACTTTCATTTACATTTCACGCAAATTTAACATTCTTCACTTTCTTTCAAGCATTTACTTTCAAAGATTTCATAGTCGAACGTGGAGTTTAGATTATAGTCTTTTGCACATTTATTTTCAAAGCTATTTACAATTACTGCATTTACTTTCAAAGTCATTTTTTTCCAAAGCCTTTACATTATTGCATTTTACTTTCTCGCCTTTAAGCTTCGACGCATTACATGCTTTCTTTTACATACTGCATTTAATCTTCAAAGTTATTTTTACTTTACAAAGATTTCATAGTCGAACGTGGAGTTCAGATTAGGGTCTTTTGCATACTTAGCACATGTCTTAGGATTTAGTATGGTCGATCCTGCAAGTTACTCAATTTTATCCTAAATTGATAGACTAGCGGTTGCTTACCAAAATTCACAGTAAACACTTGTATTGTTAAAAGAAATGTTTCCTGAAGGTAACACGCTGTCGAACTGTACTTATGAGGCCAAGAAGATATTGTGTCCAATTGCTTCATGTCATAAAGATTGCATATTATATAGGAAATATTTTGAAAACTTGAAGCAGTGTCTGTGGTGCAGGGATTCACGCTACAAGAAGAAGGACAGTGGTGTTGATGACGTTGATGGTGTAACTAGCAATTATGTTTCTACTAAGGTGATATGGTACCTATCAATAATTTCAAGGTTCAAGAGATTGTTTGCTAATGTTAGTGACGCAAAGAATACTAGATGACATGCAGATGAAAGAGTGTGTGATGGAAAAATTCGTCGTGTAGCTGATTCATTGATATGGAAGAAACTTGATTCTTTGTATCCATATTTTTCTCTTGAACCGAGAAACCTTAGGCTTGGACTTGCCACCGACGAAATGAACTCTTTTGATAATTTGAGTACTAACAATATATCATAGTCTATTCTTCTCAAAATATATTACATCAAACCATATGTTCAACCTATCAATTTTCTTTCATGTTCAACCATATGTTAGACTATTTAAAGTTATTTTAAAGATAGATTTAAAGATACTAAAAACGGATGATGAAGGTGAAGATTCAAATATAATATGTGGTTTAAAAAAATGTTCTAGAATGTTCAAAGTTAATTATTAAATTATTTATATAAAATTATATAATTTCTTTTATGACATTTAAAAAAAATTTATTTTCATTTGTATTATTCCATTCGGCTCAATTATTTGTTTTATTTATAAAAACTTATATTATTATTCTAATATAAATGTTATATATAATATTTTAAAATACACGCACATCAAACATATCTACGAATAATTGTAACTAACTAACACACAATTCTATGATTGCTCCAAAGCATTTCTACTTTTGTGTTTCAGTATATGCCAAACACTTACCAAATTTTTTAGTTGATTAATTTACTCTAAACTATTCTTGTCTTCTAAATACATATACTAATCAATTGGAAATGCAAATATGTTATTTTCTGATATTTCTAATGTAGAAGAATTAAATTGAATATGACACCACAAGTTTTGGAGATATAAATATTGCAATGCTTCATGGAATCCATATGCGCCAAATATCTAATAGTAAAGGTTTTGAGGTGCATGCATGGATGCCCTGTGGAAGGCTAAAAATTATTTTCGAGGTCACCTGCATGGAAGCCAAGTGCTAAAGCCATGAATCCATTTGGAGGAATCAATAATGAACAATACGACAAATTTACATGCAACTAGTTATGCATGAAGTCTATATAAAGGGGATTCTGTAACACTTTCATATACACTCACTAAGTCTTACACAATTATCATTTCTTCATAGCCACTCAAATGGAGTTTGCACATCTCACTGCTTTATCTCTCTTTTGTGTAAGCTAAATATTTTCTACTCTGCAAAATATAATTCATGTATAGTTTTTATTCAAAATTATCGTGAATATTTTATGCAGTTGGCTTTCGTGGGAATCACTGCGACATCACCAGGAGAGGATTATTGGCAATCCATTTGGCCAAACACTCCATTGCCAAAGACCTTCTCTGATCTGTTGATTCCTAGTTAGTAATTTAAATTATAAACTTCCACTTCTCTTCATCATTAGAATATCTTATTTGAAAAACTATATATCATGATTTAAGAACTAATCATTTTCGTTTTTAATGCGGCAGATGGAAAAACTAATAGTCTACCCATCAAAACTGAAGAATTGAACCAATACTCGACGCTCTTTTTCGAACACGACCTTCACCCTGGGAAAACCTTTCACTTGGGTAACACTCATCCGGTAGGAAATGTAATTCGACCATTCACACAATCAAAACAAGGTATAACAGATTCCATATGGCTGGCAAATAAAGATGAACAAAGTCTTGAGGACTTTTGTTATAGTCCAACTGCTATAGCAGAAAACAAACATTGCGTATCAACCTTGAAAGCAATGATTGACCAAGTCATTTCACATTTTGGAACGACAAAGATTAAGGCAATTTCAAGTAACTTTGCTCAAGATCAAAACCAATATGTGGTGGAAGAAGTGAGAAAAGTTGGAGAAAATGCAGTGATGTGTCATAGATTGAATTTTAAAAATGTAGTATTCAATTGCCACCAAGTAAAGAAAACAACTGCTTATGTGGTCTCATTGGTAGGCCAAGATGGAACTAAAACTAACGCTTTAACAGTCTGTCACCATGACACTAGAGGTATGAATGCTGAGTTGCTTTATGAAGCACTAGAAGTTACTCCTGGAAGTGTCCCTGTATGCCATTTCATTGGCAATAAAGCTGCTGCTTGGGTGCCAAATCATACCGTGGATAATCGATGTTAAATATGGTTGCGCACTCATCTCTCATTCAATAATTTCATGTTTGTGATTTGATGATTTTCATCTTCATTTGACTCTCATGTTATAAATAATACATGTTTTTGAGGGAGAAGTGTGATGTGTAAGAACCAGATACTATGTATTTTAAATAAAACAAGTTATAACTATGAGTGACATATGTTCCTCACATCGTGGTTGGAAAAACGTATATTATTTCATTTTTTCGGCTATAAAGAAGAAATTGTTATACATTATGGTTTAAAAAATATAATACAAAAGTAGAGTAGAAATACAACACTCTTACTTCTAAGACCAATTACAAGTTTTTTCTTTCAAAAGCTAAAAGATGCATATAAAATTAATAAAGGAGCACAAGTAGTGCCAATAGTACAAAAACAGAAAACAGAATGACATACAAGCCAAACAAGAAAACAAACCAAGCCACAACAATAAAACTACTGCAAACTCACCTAAAAGAACCCCAAAACACATAGCCACAAACTGGTGCAGATCACACCGATGAAAGACTCTGCTGCTGCTAAACAGGCCCCAGTCGAGAGCAGACCTCACCAATGCGGCTCCAAAACAGCTACAAGCGCCTCCAAAAACGAGAAAACTTCCTCCTCCAAACTGAGGATAAAAGAGCCACAAAATCGATAACCCAACACAGCACTCCAACCAAAGCAGCAAATAAAAAACGACGCGAACCAAACCACTGCTGCACGAACTAAAACTCTGATCGAAACAGAATTCCCACCAGCAACCTCTATGAGCAGAATAAAGAAATTCCAAGGTGCCAGGATAACAAGATAACAAGATAATATGATTGCTTCAGACCGCAAACCAACAACCGAAATTACAACCACTAACAGAATACAACCTCGATAACTCCAGATCAGCCAGTTGAGCAGCAAAACCACTGCACAGGCAAACCGCACCTTTTCCACAGAAAATGCAGTGAATAAATCAATACAGCCTGAAACAGCTCTAGGATTCGAATACGAGAAGGATAAATTATCAATTATGCTGCTTGATTTGATTTTCAACCAACTCCAAGACCATTGTTTCATAAATTCAAGCATGTTGATCATATTGATATCCTTATCTTTAAATAGCTTGTCATTTCTTGTACTCCAAATAAACCAAATAGAACCGAACCATATCGCCCTAACCCTCTCGACGAAGGCTCTTCCGTTGCCAATTAGACCTTCGAATTGAAGATGATCTATCCCATTATTGCACAGTGCTGTTGAGATACCAATTCAGTTTGAGACGTAATACCAAATACATGAAAAAAAAAATGGACATTCAAAAAAATAGGTGGGAGACCACTCCTCGCTCCCGCGCCCACTACAGCAAAAGAAAGATCCTTGCCCTATTTTAAAAAATAGGTGGAAGTGAACTTAATTTTTGAATTTTGGAATTGATTTTAACACCTTGATGAAACTTAAACTTAACATCTTGAACTTAATTTTTGATGAATAATGTGTAGTCATTAAAGGGTTACGAATTTTGGAGAGAAAGTGTGTGCGCTATGGAAATATTATTTTTATGTATGAACATCAGAATAAATCTAAATCATTAGATCTAAATAAATGGGTGAGAAGAGAGAGAATTTTGATAGTTAGAAATATAATATTTTAATTTAATTTATTTTAATAATAGAGAAGAGAGAAAACTGATTGAAAATAAAAATGACACATAATCTCACTAATTTATTTTAAATCTAATTGTTCAAATTTATTATCATATTCTCATATAAAAATAACATTCTCATATATACGCTGTAATACCCTGTGTTTTCTTATATTAATGCGCACTCGTCTCTCATTCAATAATTTAATGTTTGTCATTTGAGGATTTTCATCTTCATTTGGTTCTCATGTTATAATAATACATGTTTTGAGGGAGAAGTGTGATGTGCAAGAACCAGATCCTATGTATTTTAAATAAAACTAGTAACAAGTATGAGTGTATCCTAGTACACAGTGATATCTGATTATTGTATTTTATGGCTAGTGCTCGAATGCATGTGAGAAATTTATAATAAGAAAAGTTGTGTTTGAATTAATATATAACTTATATATAACTGATATATGTTCCTTACATCGTGGGAGTGTATATTATTTCATTTTTCGGCTATAAAAAAGGAATTTTGTGTTTTTTAATAGACAAATAATAATATATTAAATGAGAATATTAGGATACTCTAAACTAATAAACAAAATTTACTGCAACACAACTTCAACACTTAGATAATTTAATTATAAAATATCATTAGGACATTTTAGTCATTTATAATATGTGCATTTAGAATTATGTTTATATTCTCTCTGTTTCATAAAGAGTGTTGTGTGGTTTTTAAGAAAATGATTAGATATATTTGTTTTAGTGAAAAAAAAATGATGACATTTACTAGAATATTTCTATTAAATATAATTAATAAAGTAGTTGAATAAAGTAAAAGATAGTGAATAAAAATATAATAGTGAAAAAATAATAATAAATGCTATATTGGTAATGTAAATGGATAATTATTTTGAGACAAATAAAAAATACAAATGAAATACTTTTTATGAGACGGAGGTAATATCTAATAGGTATCCACCACCATAAGAATAGAATAATTCTATATATGATAACCTCATGATTTCCCACCTCATCATTAAAAATAATAAGATTTCTAGACCGCCAAATGCACCATCACGCCACATACGAAATAACACACGTCGTAGGCTTTGAGCACACTGTAGCGGTAAAAATTGTGAGTATAAACTATTGATTAACTTAAGTCATAAAACAAGATTCGTCACCACACTTTTATTGAAAAAAGATCGAACAAAATCTAAAAATGTTTTAAAACAAGAATAAATAAACAGAGACAGAGTAAGGGGGTTGGTTACGCAAAGGGAATGTGTTAGCACCAAAAATGTCTATAGTGCTCTATATGAACCTCTTTGAAATATCTACGTTTTTTGGTTTGAAAATGGTTTGTGTTGCGGTGAGAATAGGATATCAAATTATTAATTAATTTGAATCGCATCTTTAGTTCACAACCGGTCTTTAATTTATCCGAAGGAAAGGTCAAATAAAGGAAAAACCTAATTTTGCATCGTAAACTAATGCGGGGAGAGATCTAGGTAAGGGGTTGGTTAAGCCTAAGGAAGGTATTAACACCCTAAACTTTTGTAATACTCTACAGAAACCTCTTGTTTAAAGTTTACTATTTTGCTTGATTATTTGCTTGAGGGTATATACTAAGGGTTAAAAAGTGAAAGAAAGACCTAAGGGTTAGTCCTAAGTTTACTTGCCAAGATTCGCATCTTGTGCCTACGTATCTGAGGTAGGGGATGGAATCAGAGTAATCGTAATTCCCCTTGAAAGGGAGGTTAAAAACTTGTTGAAGGTGGACAAGGTTTCAATGGGGCATAAGCGTTCCTAGGAAAGCGCTTACGTGGAGTGCGGAGACTCTTATTTCTATGTTGAAAAGTTGAATTGAATTAAAGGGGTAAAATAGGAATTCCACGAGGGGAAACCTAAAACGGAGTGCGGCGACTCCTTGACCTAATGCTAGGGTAAAGGGTGATTTAGTCCACGACAGGACACCTAAGCGATTATGATTTGAAAAGGTCAAGGGTGAGGACTATTGACACGGCGGTCAAACAGTTAGACCTAATCCTTCGGAAGGGATTTAACGGTAAATAAAATAATGAAAATACGATTAAGCGGCAATATGAAAATACGGAAAATGTACGAAAACGGTAAAGGAATTGCACAACGACGATATCCTCGCATAAATTACAACCATAAAATGAAATATGAAAAATGAAGTATTCTAACAGTACAACTGAGAAAGCAATGAATGGACCGACATAAAAATTATACGAGAATAACCGGCAAGATTCAATGTGAAATTTACAAAATGAAGAATTTACAAAAAAGAGTTTGAATTTAAAATGTTAATTTTTTTATTTTGCCTAATTTTAATGGATTAATAAAAATCTTAATTTTCAAAAAAAAAAAATTTAATTGAGGAATGTTGAATTTTGCCTATATTTCTAGTTAACTTTAAGAAAAGGTTTTTAAAAAAAAAGTGTTTTAATTTTAACAAAGGATTTTGATTTTTTTTTTAAAAAACAAAGTCTTTCATCTTCAAAAAAAGGAGTTTTAGTTTAAGGAAGGTTTTAATTTTAAAAAAGGATTTTAACTTAAGATAGGTTTTAATTTAACCTAATTAAACTAAATTATAAAATAAAAATAATAAAAAAGGTTTTATCAACCTAATTAAACCAAAATATAATGTTACAATAAAAATGAATGAATGGTTTTAATGAATCTAATTTCCTTAAACTATAAAAATATAAAATAATACTAATAATAATAATAAAACAATGAAATAAAGAAAAAGAAAAAAAGAATATAAAGCAATTGAGATAAAAATGGGGGAGGGGGCGGTCAAACGCTGAGCGTTTGTTACTAGGATTTTTTATAACCCTTCTTCTTCTTTGAGGCATGGGCGACACAGCTTCTCCATTGTTGTTCTTTTGAACCTTTTCGTTCATTCCTCCCACCATTCTTACTCTTCCTGGTAGGATTCTGAAAACACAAAGTAAACGGAAAAAAATCGGTTAGTATCAAAATTGTTCACCTTTTTTCGCAAGGTTTGAAGCGATTTGAGTTGGTTCTTTTTTGCCTCTTTTTCCTTATTTTTTTGCTTATTGAACTTCCCTTTTTCTTCTCCCTTCTGGATTTTCTTTTTTCTTTTTTCCCTGAACTGATGGTGAGACTGTTGTTTATATAATACTTGTTTGGTTATGCCTGGGCATGCTGGTTGTTGCAAATTTCATGGCTGATTTGTTGATTTCTTTGACCTTATTTTGCTAAAATTTTGGGAAAGTTGTTTATGCTGTCTTTGACCCCGTTTGGTGGCAAGGATTTTGGGAAAGTTGTTTCTGAACTTGGATATCCATTTTTCCTTGATGAATTTGGATATCCACTTTGGT